GGCTAGCGCCCAGGTGCCGCCGACCCCCCTAATTGGAGGGGGGTACTGTAGAGAGAGAGAGGGAGACGGACAGCAAGACAGACATATGGCCGTTTGCTTCTCAAGCCTGTGGCCTTGTCGTCGCTTTTGCGTGCGGGCGTGGCGCCTGTTGGGGTACCTTTTGCATCGGAGTTGGGCGGACTTTTGGAGGAGTTGGAAGGTTTGGAGGGTTTAACGCCTATAAGAAGCCATTGCTGCGGCCGTGGGGTGCCCTTCAGCCATTGCTGTGGCCTTGTGGTGGCTTTTGCGTGCGGGAGTGGCGCGTGTTGGGCTTGTTGGGGTACCTTTTCCCTGCGGAGCTGGGCGGACTTTTGGAGGGTTTGGAGGGTTTGGAGGGTTTGGAGCGTTTGAGGCCTGGCAAACGGCAGCCTTGAACGCGTATAAGAAGCCATTTCTGCGGCCGTGGGGTGCCCTTGAGCCATTGCTGTGGCCTTGTGGTGGCTTTTGCGTGCGGCAGTGGCGCGTGTTGGGCTTGTTGGGGTACCTTTTCCCTGCGGAGCTGGCCGGACTTTTAGAGGTTTGGAGGGTTTTGGAGGGTTTTGGAGCGTTGGAGGCCTGGCAAACGGCAGCCTTGAACGCGTATAAGAAGCCATTGCTGCGGCCGTGGCGTGCTCTTGAGCCATTGCTGTGGCCTTGTGCTGGCTTTTGCGTGCGGGAGTCGCGCGTGTTGGGCTTGTTGGGGTACCTTTTCCTTGCGGAGCTGGCCGGACTTTTGGAGGGTTTGGAGGGTTTTGGCTGGTTTTGGAGCGTTTGAGGCCTGGCAAACGGCAGCCTTGAACGCGTATAAGAAGCCATTGCTGCGGCCGTGGGGTGCTCTTGAGCCATTGCTGTGGCCTTGTGGTGGCTTTTGCGTGCGGGAGTGGCGCGTGTTGGGCTTGTTGGGGTACCTTTTCCTTGCGGAGCTGGCCGGACTTTTGGAGGGTTTGGAGAGTTTTGGAGCGGTATTTGGAGGTTTTGAGGCTGGCAAAACGGCAGCCTGACCGCGTTAGAAAAGCATTGCTGCGGCGTCTTCTTTGGTGCCCTTGAGCCATTGCTGTGGCCTTGTGGTGGCTTTTGCGTGCGGCAGTGGCGCGTGTTGGGCTTGTTGGGGTACCTTTTCCCTGCGGAGCTGGCCGGACTTTTGGAGGGTTTTGGAGGGTTTTGGAGGGTTTTGGAGCGTTTGAGGCCTGGCAAACGGCAGCCTTGAACGCGTATAAGAAGCCATTGCTGCGGCCGTGGGGTGCTCTTGAGCCATTGCTGTGGCCTTGTGGTGGCTTTTGCGTGTTGGGGCTTGTTGGGGTACCTTTTCCTTGCGGAGCTGGCCGGACTTTTGGAGGGTTTGGAGGGCGGACTTTTGGAGGGTTTGGAGGGTTTTGGAGGGTTTTGGAGCGTTTGAGGCCTGGCAAACGGCAGCCTTGAACGCGTATAAGAAGCCATTGCTGCGGCCGTGGGGTGCTCTTGAGCCATTGCTGTGGCCTTGTGGTGGCTTTTGCGTGTGGGAGTGGCGCGTGTTGGGCTTGTTGGGGTACCTTTTCCTTGCGGAGCTGGCCGGACTTTTGGAGGGTTTGGAGGGTTTTGGAGCGTTTGAGGCCTGGCAAACGGCAGCCTTGAACGCGTATAAGAAGCCATTGCTGCGGCCGTGGGGTGCCCTTGAGCCATTGCTGTGGCCTTGTGGTGGCTTTTGCGTGCGGGAGTGGCGCGTGTTGGGCTTGTTGGGGTACCTTTTCCTTGCGGAGCTGGCCGGACTTTTGGAGGGTTTGGAGGGTTTTGGAGGGTTTTGGAGGGTTTTGGAGCGTTTGAGGCCTGGCAAACGGCAGCCTTGAACGCGTATAAGAAGCCATTGCTGCGGCCGTGGGGTGCCCTTGAGCCATTGCTGTGGCCTTGTGGTGGCTTTTGCGCGCGGCAGTGGCGCGTGTTGGGCTTGTTGGGGCACCTTTTCCCTGCGGAGCTGGCCGGACTTTTGGAGGGTTTGGAGGGTTTTGGAGGGCTTTGGAGCGTTTGAGGCCTGGCAAACGGCAGCCTTGAACGCGTATAAGAAGCCATTGCTGCGGCCGTGGGGTGCGCTTGAGCCATTGCTGTGGCCTTGTGGTGGCTTTTGTGTGCGGGAGTGGCGTGTGTTGGGCTTGTTGGTACCTTAACGAGAGAGGGCTATGTGCGCGGAAAAGTTCCACACCTGCGGTGGTCCCAGGCGCCGCCCCGGCCTTGGCGAAGGCCGGGGTCGGCGGATATTTGTACATCTTGTACCACATACTAGTATCACATATTCTCTTAAGCAGAGTAGAGAAGAGTAGAGTATGAAATTGAAACGAATTGTATACCTTGGTACAAGAAACAGAGACCTGCACTTGTGTGATGGCATGCAGAAGAGTTGAGGTTTGTGCAATGCAGCGTGGATATCGTTAAGGGACAAGACCAAGGTATAGGTTGAAACATTATCATTTCGCTTGTCAAGAAACACCAATCAAAGTCCTTCGCGGTGATGCATGGTGGCTCCAGCATTCTGCCGCGATCCACACATTAAGGAAACACCTCGAATCTCCTGCTTTTGCGTGGAAAGTTGCAATGGCCACGGTCGAAGGTGTGCCAGCCCTTGAGGAGCTGTCGCTCGTTAATGTGCGCGGAGAGCAGTGCATGCCAGGTGACGAGACCAACTTGGGCGAATTGCTCTTGACGGCTGCAAACACAACGTCAGAGAATGTGTGTTTGGAAGTTGAAGCCGAAAGTTACACTTTTGCCCAGGTGAGGCAAACATGTGAATCTCTTTTTACTTTCAAAATAATGATTTCGGTCCACTGTTTTCTTCCATGGGTCCATTTTCAAATCGCAGCATGGACTGATGCCAAACATTGCCAAACTGATCTGGACCTCCCCAGTTCTGCCTCTCACCAACGCCGAGCAGACGAGCATGTGGTGACCATTGTGCTTGACCGCGGAGTGAAGAGCATCGCATCTGTACATTTGCTGTTATGCTCGAACGGTGTGCTTACAGCGCATGTGATGTCGGAGAGTGGAAAAACTTCAAATTTGGCTGGAAGTCTCTCGTCCCCCAGTCATGATTTCCAATTCCGCTGTGTTAGAGAACCTGGGATTGAAGGACATTGCTGCGACAATGTGCTAGATGTGGAGTCCACATCTAGCACATTGCGACCAAAGTCGCAGCAATGTGGACTTGGCTTTGAAGAAGACAGATAACGAAGGCAACAAGATAGCCATGCACTGCTAGGTATGATCAGGAAGACCTCGACAGATTGCCTACCTCATTTTCACCAGCGGATCTACTGGCAAGCCCCAGGCTGTGATGATCTGTCACAAAGCAGCGTTGCGTGTGGTGCGCATCTGGGGAGGTATGTTGGCCTTGGTCCCCATGATCGATTTGCTCAGGTTACTTCCATGTCATGGGATGTGCACATCATTGAAGTCTATGGCGCAATCTCAGCAAGAGCAACCAGCGTGACATGCCCTGACATGATCAAAAAGTCTGGTCCTGGCATGCAGCTGTGGCTGAAGAATCAAAAAATCACTGGAATGAGCGTGGTGCCATCGCACCTGCGCACCATGTCTGGTGGTGGAACAGATGTCTCAGGACTTCCGCATCTTCGAATCCTGAACGTGGGAGGAGAGGCCCTGGGAGCAGATGTGGTGTCAACTTGGGCCCCAAGTCGCTGCCTCTTCATCAACAGCTACGGACCCTCAGAAATTTCAGTGGTCTGCACAGCTGCTTGTTTGAAGCCAGGTGACGCCATCACCATTGGTGTTGCACTCTTGAGGAAGAAGAAGACCAAGGCCAAATTCATCGAGTTGCCGAGCATTGGCCGTGTCTACAAAACGGGAGATCTGGCTTCATGTAGTTTAAGTTCTTTCAGGCGGTATGTCACATTGTGGCAGCTCGCGTGAGTTAGGTATGGTCCATACCCAACTCACTTGAAGCTGCCACGATGTGATACCGGTATGGTTCCAGCCTGTGGGGTGAGGGGAAAGACCCTGAAGCAAAATGCCTTCGGAAAAAGGACCGGGAAGAGATTCGTGGCTTCACAGTTCACAGTACCGGGCCGGATGAAGTCAAAAGTATTCAATAGCTAATAATTGGATATTGAACGGGCTCTCTTCAGCTTGCTGGGGATAGCCATCGTGCATACTTCCGACCTCAGCCAACTAACTACATAGTGGTAACGAGAATGATTATTGGGGTTGAACATGATCCCCATTTGCCATTGTGTTTTAGATGGGGTGATACCACCAACCAGCTCAGGGGATGCAAAACGTCTTTGGTGTTTTATTTGCCCTCCACATTTCTCCACCACCGGGAGGGTTTTCATTCGCCAGTCCTATGCGAGTTTATTCTTTGTGGTCCTTTTCTGGTCCAACAATGTTTATCTTTGAGAGTCTGAATGTTGAGCAAAACTGTCTTCTTCAATTTTCATGATCTATTTTGAATTGAACTGATTTTAGATTAATTTTGAATTATCATCATACTCAGTAAAAAGAGCAAAACAAAACCAGATGTTTTTTGCTTTTTATGTTTCAGTTAATGTTTTTTTTAACGCTTTTAAATGATTTAAACCAGGGGTAACAAAAACAAAAATACAGCACGTACATGTATATGATATAGGATTGCTTGGGATTGTTGTGTTTTTTGATTTTGTTTTGATGCTTTTTATTGTCGTTTTTGGTTTTTTGCGTTTTATTTATCCGTTTGTTTGCGGGCAGTTTGCCTCCAGGATTGAATGTCTGTTTTTTTCCAAGTTTTTACGAATATTTCATATATTTCCATTCATCAGTTTTCAAGTTCGAATAGAACCAGATTAAAATCCAGAAAAGCCAGGTAATAAAAGCAAACTGAGCCCTCTTCCTGACTTATGTAAGTGTAACCACATTTGGGCCACCAAGGCTTCGAGTTTCTCTTGTCAGAGTTTGGAGAGTGAAACATCTTGTTCTGCCTTTAGAAACTTCACTGCCTTGCTCGAGCGGATTGGCAGGAGATGAAGCATTGCGAGGCCTGCTCTTTTGAGGAAGAATTGGCCGCCGTGCTCAGAGCGGTGACAAGCGAAGAGGTGCCGCATGTGCAAACGGGATGTGCAAAGGGGATCTGCAAACGGGATGATGTTGAGAAAGGAATCTAAACCCTAAAGAACTAGAACCTTGGCAAAAGAATTCAACCTTTCACGTTGATCCCATCGTCTTGTGTGACCAGTGTCTTGGTCCTCTGGTCCCTTGGTCCGGTGGCCTCTTGTCACATGTTTTCAGCATTTTTCTATGTTTTCCAGTGTCGACCGTTTGTAAACCTTGGATTTCTCTTTGGAAGCACTGTAAACTTCTATGTAAACTTGTGGATTTCTCTGGACAGGCGGCGGAGGTCGAGCATCGTCTGTGCTTCGTCTAAGGAGCGGTTGCATGGGGTTGGGCCGGTTGGGCGTAACTCCGCTCCAGATGAGATGTACGTAATCCCGTCCCCTTAATATTTAACAACCCACTACACCTCCTGGTTTCGTATTGGATCTATTTACCAGTAGCACCGCACAAGGCGGTGGCGGAAGTTTCCAAAATAGGAAACCTATAGGAAGGGTTGGTTGTTGTGACTCACGGATGGCAGAGCGAATCCACTGATGGACCGAAAGGCGGTTGGAGCTGTGTTTTTGGAGTGGCTGCAATGTTTGCGGTGGTCACCTGGTCGGTCACCTCACCCACAACTGCTGGATGTAGTGTGGTGTAGTGCAGCTGTAGTTGTAGTTGTAGTGTAGTGGAGTTGTAGTTGTGGCGTAGTGTAACTAGTGTAGTGTAGTTGCAGTTGCATTTGTGGTGGTGTAATGCGTGTAGTGTAATGTAATGCAATGCAGTGTGGGGTAGGGTAATGTAGTGTAGTGTAACTGAGTGTAGTGTGGTGTGGTGTGGTGTGTGTAGTGTAATGCAATTAGTGTAGCGTAGTGTAGTGTAGTGCAGCGTAGTGTAGTGTAGTGTGTAGTGTAGTGTAGTGTAGCTTGGTGTAGTGTGGTGAAATGCAATTAGTGTAGTGTAGTTGTAGTTGCAGTTGTAGTTGTAGTTGTAGTGTAGTGTAGTGTTATGTAATGTGTTGTAGTTGTAGTTGTAGTTGTAGTTGTAGTAGTAGTTGTAGTTGTAGTTAGTGTTAGTGTAGTGTAGTGTCGTGTCGCGTGGTGTAGTGTAGTGTACTGTAGTGTAGTGGAGTGTAATGTTGTGAGGTGTACTGTAGTATAATGGAGTGGGGTGTAGTGTAGTGTAGTGCAGTGTAGTGTAATGTAATGAGTGTAGTCTTTTGTAGTTGTAGTTGTAGTTGATGCGATGTAGTGGAATGTAGTGTAGTGTAGTGTAGTGTAGTGGAATGTAGTGTAGTGTAATTGAGTGTAGTGTAGTGGAGTGTAGTGTAGTGGAATGGAATGTTGTGTAGCGTAGAGGTAGTGTAGTGTAGCGTAGAGGTAGTGTAGTGTAGCGGAGGGTAGTGTAATGTAGTGTAGTGTAGTGGAATGTAGTGTAGTTACTGGAGTGTAGTGTGGTGTAGTGGTGGTTGTAGTTGAAAATGCTACAAAACCCTCACGTTTTTACTCACTTTTGAGAAGGTGCACAATCCCTTGTGCCTGCCACGCGCAACGACATCTGAACGTCCAAAAGTGGTCCGAACATGGTGTGTTTTGTACATTTTGACTTCGAAATCTGCTTCGCGCCACAACGGCGTGCACTTTTCAACATCGCAACTTCCAAAAGTGGTCCGAACCTGGTGTGTTTTGTACATTTTGAAATCGAAACGTGTTTTGCGCCACAACGGCGTGCACTTTTTCGACATCTCAACTTCAAAAAGTGGTCCGAGAATGGTGTGCTTTGTACATTTTGACTTCGAAATGTGCTTCGCGCCACAACGGCGTGCACTTTTTCATCTCGCATCTGGCCAGATGGCTCCGCACCCGCCGCTTTAGCGAGCCTACTTTTCGCCCCTCCGGAGCCACAAATCATTGGGAAAAGAGCGTTTTGCGACTTTCCTACTGTTTCGCGCATCTGCATCTTCTTTCTTCTGACTCTTTCTCTTCTATCATCTTCTCTCTTCTACTCTGCTCTTCTCTCCGCCTCTTCCCCATCTCTGCTTTTCATCTGTCCATATTGTTGGAAGTTTGACTTCTAAACTTCCTTCGGTTATATAATACGTATATATATATATATATATGTGTGTGTGTGTACGCATAGTGATAAAGAGAATCTTGGGTTTGAAGATGATCCGGATCTTATTTACCACTGTATTTTTCGATGGGGTGAAACCACCAACCAGCTGAGGGGATGAAGAACAACGTCATTTCTCCACCACCGAGAATGTTTTTATTCGCCGTTTCTATGGAGCTGCTCTTTTTCGGCTCTCTTTCCGGCTTTGCCACGGCTCAGGCGAGGCTGTTTCAAACTCATGATTTCAATCTTGAATTAGGTTTGACAAAACTTGACATAGTTTCAGTGGTGATTTCTGGACCATTGACTGAGAGTCAAAGCATTTTGAAACAAACCGCGCAACATCAGGAACCTCCGGCCATGACTGTGCTGCTGGAGCCTGAGCTTGGGCCGGTTCGCGGCGAGCCAGGTAACTTTGAAGCGATTTTCATTGATGGCAGCTGCCAGGTTTCCTGAATCCCCAGTCAAGCAAAGGGCCTATGAGAAGGCAAGTTGAGTGATGCAAAATGTTTGGGAATGTTTCAGAGTGAGGGGATCCAAACATGTTCAAACCGTGCTATACAGAAACCAGCAATCCAACCGAACGTTTGTTTTAAAGTGGTAGTTCACCTTCTATGGGTCATGCAAGTGGATTTGAGCATGCCACGCCGCGCTCCTTGGGCAGGTGCACAAAATGCTGACAGGGCTCCGCGAACGAGTGGCTGCTGGCGCCTAAGCACGTTGTGCATGGATGGTTTCATGTTTTCGAAAAACGTGTTTGTTGAAGACTCAAGAACCACATGACCGTGGAGAGACCGTGGACAAACCACCTAGCACTGTCCTGGAAAGAGCTAAATTATGCTAAATTTGTTTTGGACTCCCCCGGACAAAAACATATTTGCATCTAGGTAGTGGGAGCATGGGGTGTCAGAATGATGATACTCTCCTGCCAATTAACATAGGTATGGAAATCCGCGGTGTTAACCAAGCAGCTTCCCAATTGAACCTTAGCGTATATCTAAGTATACTTATATACGTATATATATATATATTCGTACATATATAACTATACCAGTAGTACCCGCACGAGGCGGGGCGGAAGTTGCCTTAAAGATATATATAAGACCTTTCTCATCTATAGAACTTGCATGCGCCGTGCGCCAGCCAAGCCCGTGCCTGCGTGCACTCTGCGAAACTGGTGTCTTGTTTCACATGTCACATTTGAAGCTCCACTTCACACTTCACACTTGACAGTCTTCACACTCCACACTACACACTTCACACTGCACTCTTCACACTGCACTCTTCGCACTTTACGCTCCACACTCTTCACACTTCACACTGCACTCTCTGCACTCCAGACTTCACACTTCACACTGCGCACTTCACAGTCCACACTTCACACTGCACTCTTCGCACTCCAAACGTCACACTTCACAGTCCACACTTCACACTTCACACTCCACACTTCACACTGCACTCTTCTTGCCCCACACTTCACACTGCACCCTTCATCTCATCTGAGCTCTTCTCACCTTATCCCAGCTGAGCTCTTCTCATCTCATCTCTTCTCATATGTCATCTAAGCTTTCATGAATCACTTCCCAGTACTACTACAAAGGAACTTGCATGCGCAGTGCGCCAGCCAGGCCCGTGCGTGCGTGCTTTGTGCGAAGCTGTTGCAATGTTGTTGTCCAAGAACATGACCTTCGCGCGCCCCCGGTGCAATGCAACGTGAAGCAAGCACTTTCGTCACACATCACATTGCACCCTTCACACTTCACATCTCAGCTCTTTTTATCTGGTTTCATGTCTTACCATATGTCAGCTACGTTCTTCTTGG